TCCGACTAGTTGGGTGATACTAAAACAATTAGACCCTTCGCCCTCAAGGGCCACTGGTCAATAGCCCATTGGGCTTCGCCTCATGGGCTATTGACCCGTAGACCTTGCGGGCTACGGCTCTAATTGTTAATTATCACATTAATACCCGGTTGCATTACAAGTACTTCCATATACAATTTAGTTGTAAAAGCTTGCTAAAATAACATGGGAAATGTAAGATATTTGGTGAAAAATGCACAATCTGAAGAGGGGTTTTTGCGTGAAACGTTTCGTCATAACGTCATTAAAATTCACTTATCGCGCGCAATTCAGAATATTCTCCATATTTTCACAACTATTGTGTTGGATAAAACACTTATTGAACACCGTAAGTTGGGTTGGCCAGATAGGAAATCGGCCCTCCGAGACTTCTCCGGATTACGGTCACTTCGAAAGCCATTACCTCGCAAAACTATTTTGACCTTGCCCCCCTCCACTGAGTCATAAAGCTTAGGATATTCAGCGAAGAAAGCCACAATGGTTTTGTCTTTTGAAAGTTCTTACATTCTGTTCAGTTGTTTTAAAACACCCGATAATCAAACGCGTGCTCTATCAACAGTGTACATGTACGGAACGTGTGCCGACACATTTTAAATTAATTGCCGATCGTAACCTGTTCACTTTGACCAGTAATTACATCACATTTGTTTATTTGGAGTTGTCCTGAATGCAGTAACCTATTGTGCGGAGTATTGTTCTAATTACAAGGGAAAGATTGGCCGAGTTGTTTTGCTGCATTCTAGCTAGCTAAATACACCGATCATCAAAAAGAGATTAAAAGAAGCCGGGGTAAATCACTTCCTAACAGGTACCAAACATTTTTTCTCCATAAAGTTTTTGATAATTGTAAAATAGTTTCTTTTCAACTTGCCGATAAAGAATAAATTTTGGTTCTCAGGAAGGTTTAATAAGCCTTCGATGGACGCTACGTTGAAAAAAAAACAAAAAACTTATCCATTAGAAGCAAAACATAAGAGCTATTGAAAGAAAACTTTCTCTCTTGCATAATCTGTAAATTTAATTAATGAGCGGTTCGTCTTTTAGTTAAAGTAAACAAGGAAAAACTGTCCTGTCCTAAATGAGCCACGTTGTTTGTAAAAGAGGAGCGAAAGATTGATAAAGTTGTCCTTAGCGACAAGCACGCTTTAAATAGAATCATCATCAATCATATGAAATCAGCAGCGACAAACGAAGAGCAATAATAAGCAAGTGTTCTCAGCTCTTCAGGCCTTTCTAAATAAAGAACTGAAAAGCAAAGAAAAAAAAAAA